TCTTAGTGGCTCATAAAATTATTTGAAAAAGAAAAAGATTCAATCAGCAAAATTTATTGTGAAACTGATAAATTTTGAGGAATGTTTTTATGTCCTCAGCAACAGCTACATAGTACCCTTATATGTATCCCTCAATGACCTGGACTTTAACCACTTAGCCAATTTTGACACTTGGTGCAGGTGCACAAAAAACCACAAATGCGGATTGAATATGCTCACTCTGCTTAATAATTTTGCCAACAGAAACCAAGCAGTTTTCAAGGGTTCTTTTACATATTGTATAATCATTCAATGTGCACAACATCAATTTTCCCATCTGAGAATTACAACCCTTTGTGATCCTAGATCAGACTCAGTCACACTCAATCCACCTTCCTGATTTTCTCTGATGCAGTTTTGTGTAGAACTCAGTTCGACACTCATTTATCGAACGTAATAAAGAATATTGTGGTTCTATATAGGCTAATTAATGAACTACTAGACTCAATATGTATTTAATACTAAGCTGATACCATCTATATGCACTTTAATGAATTTCTATTCTTGTTATTTTGTTAATCTTTAAAGTGCGTCAGTGCTAGAATGTAGATGAAATGGTGGCATCAAGTAAGTTCGCTCTGGCTATTGAACTATGTGATATGTTAGATGACGACAATCCTGTAAGTGATATAAGTATGTCTGATGGTAGTGACTTTTCTTTCGAATCATCTGAAAGTGACACAGAACAAACTGAAAATTAATGTATTGAAGAAAATCAGACTAGTGACTCTTGTAAAAATTAAACAGACCAGGGACAGCCAACAAGTACTTCTAATGGAAATGGACCTCAATGGATTAAGCTGGGATTTGAGTCTGTAAACTTGAAAACAAGAAAATACTAAAGGGTGTTCTTAGTATACTTACTTGAGTATTGTTTCAAATTCCGTTCAACTAATAAAATTGCAGTTTTTCCATTTGCTTCACTCATAAAATTTTCAGATGTGGATATACAACTTTCAACATCATCCAATTTTGTGTTTCTTGCCTTCAAGATAATCCCTTCATTATCAAACAAAGGTTCATGTTTTATAGTTATTTCTGAGCCATCAGATACTTCACATGCCAGAGATGTTCGCTGTTCTTGTGTTGATGTTTTCACTGATGCTGATTCCACTTCCTCACATGAGACCCTAAATCCTTCAAAAGGAACATGTGTGTTTGAGTGCACAGCATCTTGGACGCCATCAGAATGGTGGGAATTTTCAGGGAAAACCTCATGTCTAGTACTAATGTCTGGAACTTCACTGGTATCTTGATTATCTTCTGACAGACCCCCACAGACATTTCCAATAGCATTACTGGATTCATTTCTACTCACCTGAAATACCAAAAACATCCATTATTAATTTTTTCAGAGTGAAAAATTTCAAAATTAGACATTGCTTTACATACATAATCCTGGGTCAAAGCACTTAAGCTCTTGATCTGCAGAGACTGAGCAAGTGTCAAAAATGCTTGAAAGTTCCCTTCTGGAATTTGAGTCTCCCCTTGATACATAAAATCAATCACTGCCTTCAGTGTATCAAATGTTACATCTACCAGGACAATGAATGGATGCTTTGCAGGCTCCTCATGAAACAGCATCTATAAAATATAATTCGGAAGGACAATATTGAAAAAGATGAACTCTTCTCTAAAATTATAGCTTCAAAAGATATCTTCAGAACTAGTGCGGTTGTTATTGTACATGTCAGGTTCACTAAATGACAAAAGATAGAATGCCATCTTCTTTAAAACTATTTCAATGTTTGAAAATAACAAACAAAGTTTGTATGGCTAGGGCTTTTTTTGTAATAATCTAATGATATTATAAAACAGTCCCTTTGATGTGACCAGTGCTACAAAAGAACATTTTTTCTTTCCGTATAAATCCCATGGAGTGATTGTATATTTTGAAGCATTAATTGGGAATGACATTGCATGTAAGTTGGCATAGCACTTTCCATTATTATTAGTTCAGAAAATCCATTACATACATAATGCATATGTGTTTGACCAAGTGGTTATTGGACAAATTGTGCATGGGAAGAAAATTGAAGTGTTACTCTCACACACACATTTTGGGATTGAACAAAACGCCAACCAAGAAAATGTTTGAACCTAAAGGTGTTAACAACATTTTTGTTGGGTAGTCTTGATTGCGCTAATAGGTACTGAATCTGGAATCCGTCGAAGCAAAAAATCAAAATTTCACAAGATGTCAAATTTGCCAATGAACTTTTTGAAGAATATGTTGTATGAAGAATATAAGAATTGCTTGTTTGATTTTCATTGTCATTGACAGACATAATTTTCAAAACTCAAAAATTGTTCTTTGTTGCAGTCATCTATATATATATAAATATACATATATACATATACATATACATACATATACATATATATACATACATACATATACATATATATACATACATACATACACATATATATACATATACATACATACATATACATATAC